TTTTGTTACTCCTTCATAACGACTATATTCGTCGATTATAGTTATCTGAATAAATATGTAATATTTTTGTATTTTCGAGACCATTAATTAATGAATTATACAGAGATTAATTATTGAATTATATAGAGATTCTCAAAACTATGGGTCACGACTCCAAATAAGGTGTCACAGTGGAATTTCTGAAATGGCGAGAGTTTTTTAATGTCAATATTTATATAATTGTATCACGTCTATATTTTGTATGTTTATGAACGAATTTTAAAAGGTTTAAAGGTATATATTTTATATGTATATGTATCTTTATATGTATCTATATAAGTATATGGTACTAAATAAATAATAATCTAAAAAAAAAATTTTTATTTGTGTGAGGTCGTCAAGAAACTCGCAATCAACAATGGGGTCGCAAAGGGCAAAAGTTAAGAAACCCCTAAATCGACTATTGATTCTAAAAATGCATCATGGCAATTCAAGACAGTAGTAATGATCATATTTACTACAGTAGTAATTGAATAAAAATAGAGAAAAAATGTGGGAGAAATTCAAGAAATTTGGTTTGAATCAGGAAATTTGGGGTATTTTTTATATTCAGTCATATTTTGAAACTTATAAAAAACACTTATTTTTTATACCTATGGAAAGCTAATAAAATTCACAATAAGTCGTTATATATAAGTTAATACGTTTAGAAACAAATTATATTCTAAAAAAATTGTTAAATATATAACATTAATAACCGATTCATAACTGGACACGGTGTTATTAAAAATAATCTACTGTATCATCTACAAAAAATATGTATACCCAATATTGATTCCGCTTAGAAAAGTGTTCGAATTTTTAATATTTTATTTCAAAATCGCATCTATGAAATCAATATGCACCGCGTGGACAAAATTGGAAAAAAGGTCCTATTCGCAATATATAACCCGGTGCACGGGAACCGAACAAGCAACCCACATTTATTTCCACATATCATGAATAAAAAAAAGCGCGGGCCGCAACCGTGTGCGGCCATAAAACTGGAAAAGAGCCAGAAAGGAAAAATAAATGATCAATGGCCTGGGGCAGGACATCGAAATTAGGATTGCGTAAAATGAATACAAATGAAAAAGAAGATAA